CTGTGTTAAGAAAAGTTGGTAAATTGGACTCTCCTAAAGAACTTTGGGAAAAATTACAGGAATTATATACTGAAACTTCTTTGCCAAATAAGTTGTTTCTGCTTGAGAAATTTTTCCGGTTCAAACTTGATTTGTCCAAAGATATGGATGATAATTTGGATGTGTTTACCAAACTTGTTCAGGATATTAAACAAACTGGTGATAAGCATATTGATTATTATACCCCTATTGTGCTCTTGAATGTTATACCTGATTCTTACAGTGATGTGAAATCTGCTATTAAGTATGGTAGAGATAATGTGAATCTTGAAACTGTTGTGAATAGTTTGAAAAGCAAAGAGCTTGATTTGAAAACAAACAGGGGTGGTAAGAATGTCACTGAGGTTAATTTTGTGAGAGGTAGATCTCAAAACCGTTTTCAAAATCAAAAACCTCAGAATAATCAAAGTTTTGGCAAAAAGAAAGGTCGGGGCAAAAGTCGGTCTAAGTCAAGACCGAAAAATCGTAAGTGTTATAATTGTGGTGAATCTGGTCATTACATTAATGAGTGCCCTAAACCTAAGAAAATCCAGCATAATGATCGTGCAAATGTGGCATCTAGTAGTGAGAATCATGGTGATGTTTTTATGGTGACTGAAATGCATGCTAATGTGAATTCTGTGCGTTCTCGTTCTCTTTGTGAAAATGAATGGCTTGTTGATTCTGCATGCACGTTTCATATGTCTCCTTTTAAGAATTTGTTCTCGAACTACAAAAATGTGAAGCATGGATCTGTTTCTATGGCTAATGAGAAATTGTGCGAAGTTGCTGGTCTTGGTGATATTTGCCTGCGTTTTAATTCTGGTTATGTGTTAACTTTGAAGAATGTGAGGCATGTTCCTGATTTGTGCCAAAATTTGATATCATGTGCTGCATTAGAAGATGATGGTTTATAGGGTAAATGGGGAAATGGTGTTATGAAAATTTTGAAGGGTTCTTTGGTGATCTTCAAAGCTGTGAAAAAGATGAACTTGTATGTTTGCTTTGCTGAATCTTGTATGCAAAACTCTGTGAATGCTGTCTTTGGTGACAAAACTGATTTGTGGCATAAACGTTTAGGTCACATGAGTTCTAAGGGTCTTGAGATTTTGCATAAAAGTGGTTGTTTTAGTGATGACAAATTGTCTTGTATGCCATTTTGTGATTCATGTGTGCTTGGTAAACAATCAAGAGTGAGTTTCCCTGTTTCTCCTGTTGCAAAACAACGTGTTTCATCTCGAATATTTGAGTATTTGCATGCTGATGTGTGGGGTCCAGCTAGTGAGCCGACTCACGGTGGAAATCGATATTTCTTGTCTGTTATTGATGATATTTCTAGGAAAGTTTGGGTGTTTTTATTGAAAAACAAATCTGATGTTTTTGAGAAGTTTAAAAACTGGAAAACCTTGATTGAAAATCAAACAGGCAAGAAAATACGAGTTTTGAGGACCGATAATGGTCTTGAGTTTTGCAACCAATTGTTTGATAATTTGTGTGCTAGTTCTGGTATTCGAAGACATAGATCTGTGCCTTACACGCCTCAGCAGAATGGTGTCGCTGAGCGTATGAATAGAACTTTG